GATGTTTGAGCTCCGCCCAGACCCTGAACAAAGCTCCGCCCAGACCCTGACCAAAGCTCCGCCCACACCCTGACCAAAACTCCGCCCAGACCCTGAACAAAGCTCCGCCCAGACCCTGACCAAAGCTCCGCCCACACCCTGACCAAAACTCCGCCCACACCGACCAAAGCTCCGCCCAGACCCTGACCAAAGCTCCGCCCACACCCTGACCAAAACTCCGCCCACACCGACCAAAGCTCCGCCCAGACCCTGACCAAAGCTCCGCCCAGACCCTGAACAAAGCTCCGCCCAGAACCTGACCAAAGCTCCGCCCACACCCTGACCAAAGCTCCGCCCACACCCTGACCAAAACGCCGCCCACACCCTGACCAAAGCTCCGCCCAGACCCTGACCAAAGCTCCGCCCAGACCCTGACCAAAGCTCCGCCCTGACCCTGACCAAAACGCCGCCCACACCCTGACCAAAACGCCGCCCACACCCTGACCAAAGCTCCGCCCAGACCCTGACCAAAGCTCCGCCCAGACCCTGACCAAAGCTCCATCCAGACCCTGACCAAAGCTCCGCCCAGACCCTGACCAAAGTTCTGCCCAGACCCTGACCAAAGTTCTGCCCAGACCCTGACCAAAGCTCCACCCAGACCCTGACCAAAGTTCCACCCAGACCCTGACCAAAGCTCCACCCAGAGCTCCGCCCAGACCGTGACCAAAGCTCCACCCAGACCCTGACCAAAGCTCCGCCCAGACCCCGACCAAAGCTCCACCCAGAGCTCCGCCCAGACCGTGACCAAAGCTCCACCCAGATCCTGACTGAAGCTCCACCTAGAACCTGAACAAAGCTCCGCCCAGACCCTGACCAAAGCTCCGCCCAGACCCTGACCAAAGCTCTGCCCAGACCCTGACCAAAGCTCCACCCAGACCCTGACCAAAGCTCCGCCCAGACCCCAACCAAAGCTCCACCCAGAGCTCCGCCCAGACCGTGACCAAAGCTCCACCCAGACCCTGACCGAAGCTCCACCTAGAACCTGAACAAAGCTCCGCCCAGACCCCGACCAAAGCTCTGCCCAGACCCTGACCAAAGCTCCACCCAGACCCTGACCAAAGCTCCACCCAGACCCTGACCAAAGCTCCGCCCATACCAAAGCTCCACCCAGACCAAAGCTCCTCCCAGACCCTGACCAAAGCTCCTCCCAGACCCTGACCAAAGCTCTACCCAGACCACAAACAAAGCTCCGCCCTGACCAAAGCTCCGCCCAGACCCTGACCAAAGCTCCGCCCAGACCCTGACGAAAGCTCCACCCAGACCCCAAACACAGCTCCGCCCAGACCCTGACCAAAGCTCCACCCAGAACCCGAACAAAAAAAAAAGAAGTTCCACTTCCGCAGTACATTGATAATCCACCAGAGGGCAGAATACAGATCTCACCTGATAAACTATACAACAGGTTTTTGAGGAAAAAATTGATCACATTGATAAAATATAGGTCACAGAATCCTGCGTCACAATTATGATACAAATGGAGACATAAAGACACGTCCCAGAGGTGTTTCTGGTCCCCACCTGTCGTTTTGCTCCTCAGCATGGCTTCATAAAAACACTGCAGGATTTCTCAAACATGTATGAATGAGTCAGAGCAAGGCTTTGGGCCTGTTTTTATGAGAGTATAACATTATAACATGATAAAAAACTCAAAATAGTTGATTTTACATGATATTGCCCCTTTAATGAACTGAAATGAACTTTCTGATCACATTTAGTTTKTACAGAACTGATGATCTGAATTAGTCCATCAGAGTTTCAGCTGCTGCAGGAAGTTATTTGTTTATTTGTTGTTGTTTAAAGAAACCTTATATGAGCGGTGGGACCTCGGAGTCGTCCACAAACTCCTCAGAGAGCTGTCCCTCAGCAGTGGGAGGACCTGGACCGGTTCTGGGGGTCTGCAGCGGGCCTTCAGCGCCGCCCCGCTGTGGGACGATGTTGAAGACATTGACAGATCTGCTGGGATCCACCTCCAGCCTCTCAGGAGCTTTAATCTCTCTGTGGAGATAAAAACACACAGAACAAAGAGATTAAAAAGGTTTTTCTTTGATCTTTGTGTCGTTTCTCTGAACAGCCGCAGCAGATTTTAAAACCTGGAAACAGTCGAGACGAAAGCATGACGCTGGTTGATTTCATCTCATCTGCAAACATCAGCCTGAACGTTCAGACGTTTGTTTATTAAGAAGGGAATAAAATCTGCAGGACGACGAGACCTACAGGAAGAGAGCTGCAGCCGGAAGAACAGGGAGGAGAAATCAGGAGAGTTTGGTTAATTTTTATTAAATGCAACATTTTTCAGAAAACCTTCATTTTCTAATCTCCAGTTAAAAACCTGATTTATCTTTTAGAGCAGGACTATTCATCTGAACAGCTGAGGGGCCGAACATCCRGCATTTAAAGTCATTATGTAAATAAACCAAGTATTACAAAGMTCTGTTACCTTTGAAATACTTTATTTTGCTGCATTTAATGAATACAACATACAGAACCTATAAAAGTAGTGATAATTAAACTATCAAAAGCAAAAATAACACATTTTGCCTCCTGTATAACACAAATAATATTTTTAACATCTCTGACTTGACAAAACTTTAAACCAATTTTATTTTCACTTTCATAGTTTTATCTTCAACTGCTTGTAGTTTGAACCGTCTTTGCTGTGTTGCATAAAGTACCACAAAGTGATATTTGAGTAAAAGTACAAGTATCTTACCAAAAATTGAATTTGGTTAAAGTTAAATTCTCCTTTAGGAATATTACTTGAGTAAAAGTCTTAAAGTATGTGATATTTGTTGTAGTTAAGTAT